ATAGTTTGCAGTCAATTTAAAAAAAACCTTATTTCAGGTTCACCTAGCCAGGCCTTCAGACATAGGCGAAGTATAACTTTTTTTTTTTTTTTTTTAAGATACTGAGGATAGAACCCCAGCACAGTAGGCAAACTTTCTACAACTGAGCTACATCTCCATCACTTTTTTATTTTTGAGTCAGGGTCTTTCTAAATTGCTAAGGCTGGCCTGAAATTTATAATCCTCCTGCCTCGGCCTCCAGAGTCGCTGGGATCACAGGCATGTGTTGCTATGCTTGGCTAAAATCTGGCAGTTCTGAGGGAAAACTGAGCCATGGTGAGCGAGTTGAATGAGGAGAAGGGAAAGGAAAGATCATTTATATATTGAAGAAACAAATTGCTTGTCTATAGTCTGTTACAATCTGTGGAAGATGAGCCAACTGTGATATCTTAGTTCAGAGAACAGGCAAGGAAATCACACTGCCAGGGCTTGGGAGTACAGAACCTAGAACCAATTCCTTACTATTTGTGAGAAACTAAACTGAACCCCAAACCTCTGAATTTGAAGAAGGAATTTCATTATAATTTCCAGATGCCATAGAGCCTCACTAATAAAACTCACATGTCACAGACAAAAAGAAAATCAGAATTTTAACCTATTTTAGAAGTCAAGCACCCAATATATCTTTGGAGTAATGTTGGAGTAATGTTTGGAGTAATGTGGAACCTTTGGGTTCCACATCTGTGGTGGACTCAACCAACTATAGATTGAAAATATTAAAAACAAATTACATACTGAACAAATATACAGAATTTTTTCTTATTATTCATTAATCAATACAAGGAAACAACCATTTAATAGAGTTCACATTGTACTAGGTATTATAGGTAACCTAGAGTTAGGTTAAAGAGTCATCTGCACAGCTAGCTGCAGTGGCACCTGCCTATAATCCCAGCAGCTCCGGAGGCTGAGGCAGGAGGATTGTGAGTTCGAAGCCAGCCCCAGCAACTTAGCAAGGTCCTAAGCAACTCAGTGAGACCCTGTCTCTAAATAAAATACACAAAAGGGCTGGGAATGTGGCTCAGTGGTTAAGCACCTCTGGATTCAATCCCTGGTATTCTACCCCCCTCCAAAAAAAAAAAAAATAAAAGAATCATCTGCACATATGAAAGATGGGGGTGGTGGTTCTAGAATGCAGAAGGCCCTGGGTTCTATCTCCAGCATCACAAAAATAAATCAGTGAATAAAGGAAAGAGAAGTCAGGTGTTCTTGTACATCCCTGCAGTCCTAGCTACTGCAGAGGCCAAGGAGGGAGGATTCCCTGAGCCTAGGAGTTCCTGGCCAGCCTGGATAACACAGTGACACTTGTTTTACAACAAACAAAAACCTTTGTACATTTGGAGGATGTGCATGTGTTATATGTTAATGCAAATACTACGCCACTTTTTATATAAGGGACTTGAGTATCCATGGATTTTGGTAACCTAGGAGGAGAGAAGAAGAAGGTCATGGAATCCCCCCTAARAATACCAAAGGACACCTCTACCAACAAGATTTGCGTAAAGAGTGAGCTTATCATTTAGAGATTAAGAGCAAATTGCCATCATGGACATCTAGGTACTACATTTCGGCGGGGGAGGGGTATAGGGATTGAATCCAGGGGTACTTAACCACTGAACCGCATCCCCCAGCCCTCTTGTCTCTCTAAGTTATTTAGAGCCTCGCTAAATTGCTGAGGATGGCTTTGAACTCACGATCCTCCAGTCTTAGACTCCGGAGCAGCTGGGATTATAGGTGTACACCATTATGCCCAGTTTAGGAACCACCTTTTAAGCGCTSTGTGATCTTAACTTCACGAATCCCAGTTTTCCCATCTATAAAAAGGGTGAGTCCCTTATTTCTTAAGAGTTGGTGAGGTCGAGTGGAAAAATAAAGGTGGAGTCATTAGAATGTAGGAACATTAGTTATCACTCAGTGAGTTCTAATTTTACTGTTCCTAAGACTTTAGAAAAGCAGCCTTCGAACTCTTGTCCAAACCAACCTTTGAGAAATTCTTCCTAATGTGTCCTTGGAACATGCACTTACRCTCTTCCTCTCTACCCATCTGTCACACTGTTAGCAGAACGAATTTCTGGATCAAGCAAATACTTATTAAAAGCCCAGTCTGTGCAAGGAATAGGTTGCAGGAAAAGGGCAAAGAGTTAAAAAAAAATTTAGTCAGAGAATTTCCAGAAAATTCTCAAAAAGTTAATTCTTAGTTATAATAACACGTTGCGTTGTGCACTAACAGAGATTTTGAAGTCAAGGTTTCTGTTGTTTCCCAAGCTGTAAAAGGAAGAGCTTCCCGGAGGGTCTCCTAAGATGCCGTCCAGGTTTACCTCCTCCAACTCATATTGAAACAATTTGAAACTTAATTAATTAAGTTTGGAAACAATTTGAAACTTAATTAATTAAGTTTGGAGAGACTCTTTCAACAAAACGACTCGAACGCAAACGGAACACGTGCTTGCGTGAACCTCTCGAAGCCTAGAGGTGTGGCCAAAGGTCAATAAGGCGGAGCTTTAGGCAATTTCAAACAGGCATTGAAGCAGTCGGCCCCTGACCTGGCCACGCCCCCACGTCGGCGCCGCTCGGGGTCCTTCCATGCGCGTTGATATGATTGGCCGGCGGAAAAAGGTTCCCTTTTCCTCCCTGGGTGTCTGAACGTCTACCGCCATCATGGTGAGTCTCTCCAGACTTCTGCCGTCATCCACCCCAAATCTGAGCCATCCTTCATCCCCTAGTCCTACGGTCGGAGCTACAGCAGCTCGAAGTCCCGTTCCTCTTCTCTGGTGGTGTTTTATGGAGACTGACTGCCCAGGGTTCCGGAACTGTGGCGCGGAGTCGGGGCTGGCTGGCGGGCTGCATTGCTGTCCAGGACATGCCAGGCTTAGGGCTGCGCGGCCTGGGGACTGCG